AAAAAAAAAAAAAAATTTTTTTTAATAGAAATGAGGCTTTGCTATGTTGCCCAGGCTAATTTTGAATGCCTAGGTTCAAGCACTCCACCTGCCTGGGCCTCCCAAAGTGCTGGGATCATAGATGTGAACCACTGGGACTGGCCTAAATTAAGGATTTAGTTTAGAAGAAAAATCAGCCGGGTGCAATGGCTCATGCCTGTATTTCCAGCACTTTGGGAGATGGAGGTGAGAGGATAGCCTGAGTCCACGGGTTTGAGATCAGCCCAGGCAACTTGGCGAGACCTCATCGCTACAATAAATTAAAAAATTAGCTGGGTGTGGTGGTACACACCTATAGTTTCAGCTGCTTGGAAGGCTGAAGTGGAAGGATCCCCTGAGCACAGCGGGTTGAGGCTGTGGTGGCCGTGAGCATGCCAAAGCACTCCAGCCTGGGCGACAGAGTGAGACTCCTACTCAGGAAAAAAGAAAAATCAAAGAATCACTAAATAATTCTCACTGCACATGGTGGCTCACACCTATAATCCTAGCACTTTGGGAGACTGAGGTGAGAGGATTGCCTGAGTCCAGGAGTTCAAGACCAGCCTGGGCAACATAGTGAAACCCCCGTTTCTATTTTAAAAATTAAATTAAGACTTTTTTTTTAACTGCAAAAAGAGTGGAGAAGGGGAGGGAACATATTTCTTAAAGAAATCTTGAGAAGCACTTTGGACATGTGCCCAAAAACATGAAACAGTCACTAACAATATCAGTTTTTAGTTACCATTATAAAGGACATCTTCTAAACAACAACAAAAGAAATCTGGGGCGGTCAGATAACTCAAGTAAAAGTTCACCTGGTTGTCTAGTGGTTAGATTCAAGCCCTCACTCTCAGTGAAAGTCCAGACTTCCCCCTTTCAGTACATTTTTGCTTCAGATTTCCACTATTTGTAGAAAAACAAGAAAAATTATAAGACATTTTCAGTGAGACCACGACAAATTTCCACACCACTACAAATCTACAATCTTTAAGGAGACATAATTAAAAGCATACAAAGCTCAACACAGTCCAAACGTACCATCCAGCACCTGTCCACACAGACAAGACATGGACAGGTACCATTCCTCACCCTGTTTTACCTATTGGTAATGAAACCCAATCGCTTATTCATACTGTCTGTACAACTTTTGTTTTCTAGGCTCTCATATGAGGTACCATCAAAACAAACTATCCCTGGAATACAGTTTCGCTTTGTAACACTATTGTGATTATTGTTCCTAAAGATAATCTAACCTAAGAATTAGCCCAATACAAGAACACTCTAAACAGTACACAATATTAACTTCATTGTAAAAAAACATGAGATTCTTAGCAAATGGCAGCAAAAGTATTGTGGATAAATTAACCAAGTTAAAAAAAAACAACCAAAGTTTGCATGTTTTGACCTACAAAAGAGTCACATAAGTTTTTACTTTGAAAGCTGGTTAAAGTTCATTAGTGTGTAGAAATCCATTCAACTTGGTTTGGATTGCATATAAATATTAAAAAGTTGTAACATTAACATTATTCAGCCGAATATCATAGGCAAAATAGGGTAGTCAGAGAATAAATGGGATTATAGCCCTCTGTAATTTCACTGACCCTGATCACTGTGATCGACACTACTTGTCACTATCTGACATCAGGTTTTTGCACAAATTGTTTACTTGTTTATTGCCCTTCTGTGTTCTCCCATTAGACTATAAGATTCATAAGTGCAAACATGTTATCTTATTTTCCACTGTATGACCAGTGTCTAGCACTTAGTAGAGGCTCAACATAAATTTGCTGAATGATAAGATGAACGAATACCTTCCCCCTCTGACTTCTCTCACTTCCCTTTTCCCTTACACATTAACCAACTTTTAAAGTCAGGGTCAAATTCTATTATCTCTATGAAGATTACTTCCCCGAACCCTCTTTCTTCCCTATATCTTGAATTTGGCACTCACCAGCTGAGAATTATCTTTGCACATGTACATGTCTCCCTTAAATAGGATGGGTGCAGTGGCTCACGTCTGTAATCCCAGCACGTTGGGAGGCAGAGGCGAGAGGACTGCCTGAGCCCAGGGGTTCGAGACCAGCCTGAGCAACTTGGCGAGACGTCGTCTCTACAAATCAAAAAATTAGCCGGCTTGGGGACACATGCCTGCAGTTTCAGCTACTTCGAAGGCTAAGGCGGAGGGATTACCTGAGCCCAGAAGGTCAAGGTTGCAGTGGCCATAAGTGTGCCACTGCACTCCAGCCTAGGCGACAGTGAGACTCTGACTCAAAAAAAAAAAAAAAAAAAATTCTTATATTCCAGTTCTCCTTAAGGGCAGAAACCCATGTTCCCAACTTTTGGTATCCATCTCAGCGCACGTACATAGTATACCACTGATAAATGTTTTGCTTGATTGATTTATACCTGTGGTTTGCATAGAAGGTCAGTTAATCCAGTTAATAAGTTCAACTTTTTTTGTAATTCATCCCTCCCTTCCAAATAACTCAAAATAGGCCATGAACTTGCATGAAGTCCCTCTTTACTTTAAATTCACCTCAGATTTTAAAGCCTCACATAACTTATGCTCATAATCTACTTTATCCATCCATCTCCTCAATCTCAAGATTGAACTTTTTTTATGTAATTAAAAAACCCTGCAACTTTTGGTGGTACCTCTATGAAGTTTCTATCCCTCGTCAAGAAGCGGGTGAAGGTTCATGACTCTCTTCTTGTTGCTGAGGTATCGGAAGGTATTTTCCCATTTATTCCTTTTTCCTTTCAGGCCAAGATGTATCCCATTTCCTTCTTTACTGATCATACCCCTGGCAAGCTTTTATTATTTCTTTGTACCTGTCCTCAGTAATCTGTCTTAGAGCCTTCTTTTGAGCCACTCTTATTTCCTCCAGTCATTTATTTGATTAAATTTCTAACTCCCTGTCTCAATCCATCTGTGTATAAGAAAGGCCTCCCCTTTTAAAGCCTGAGCCTGTTTCTTTATTCGGCCCACCTTTACGAATCTCCCTTGACTCAGCCAACCCTTGATCATTTGGGCTAATGAAATGTATAAAAACAACAGATTATCTACAATACAAGAAAGTCAGGGGGAAACTTGACATCTGGCTTTGGAATATATCATATGTAGCTTTGGGCAAGACCGTTTTCCTAATTATATTTTTGTTTAGGCCAACATTAATAAGATTTTCTTTTATGATAGTGAATATCTGTCTCCATTTTAAAATTTGACCAGTTAATTTTTTTAAAAAGCCAATCAAGCATCAACTGTGTTTTTTTCTGTAAAGTCTTTTTAACTAGTTCCCTCAATCTGTTGAAATCTGTCATAAAATCTGTTTTCTGTTTCCCCTGAGTTATCTCCTCTTCTTGGAATTCTGATCCAAATCAGTTTACCCTGTATTAATTACTTCTTCAAACTAAAGTACCTTTTGCTTGGGAACTCAAAGCATTTTGAAAACACTGAAAGGCCAATTAAAATTTTAGTCCAGATGACACAGTATAGAAAACTGCTTTTGTCAGATACTCCAGGAAAACTTGGGGTTCTAGGATAAATTACACTGGTAATTCTAGCAAATTATATTTAGTAGGATTTTATGATTTGCATTGAAGATAGAAGAACTGTAATACTGAACAGCTATATAAGTCAGCTCCATCAGTACATTAATCTCATATGCTAAAAACTCTATGAAATTAAATTCCCAATACAGGCATGTAAAGAAAATGGCATATAAAAAAAGTACACACAAATCCTGCACCTTCTCCTGACCCCTAACCTAAGCTCTGCAACCTTCTCAGACCCACTCTTAAACCCTAATCTCAGCCTCACTTGCACTCCCACACATGCGACAAATAATTTGTAACCATATAAGAAAAAGAAAAAGAACCGGACTAACAGCTCTTTTACCCCTTCTCAGCGACTGCCATTAAGCTTGTGGCCCAAGAGACCCCTAACCCCCAATTTTATATGACAATTTTTATTTTGTTGACACCCCGGTTACATTCAGCAAATGGAACCAAAGGACAAGGACTTCCCAAACTGAAGGAGCAAAACTGGATAATTCTGCAGTTCTGTCCCTAGTCGCCTCCATAACTACGCCCTGTTTGAAACATCCAAGTAAAATAAGTACAATTTTAAGCCAAATCAGATATTTTATTGAATTGCTGATATACCAAATGTTAAAGGTAAACATTTTTTAAATATCATCACAGTTTATACATTTTTACAACTGAATGGAGGTTTATAGCGTTTGAACTGACTTATTTTCATACACTACTCACCATATTACCAGAATTCAAAATAAACCTATTTCTAAATTTTCCCCCATGTGGAACTTTAATAAGTGCACATTATTTTTGCCTAAAATCCAACTCTTGGGCTGGCCTTATTTACAAAAGAGGCAAAATATTGGCCAAATAAATTTTTTGTTTTAAATAGCAACCTTCCACAAGGTCTTCAAATTCAGTAAATTCCATAACTTCATTAAAAAAACAAAAAACGTTCACAGTGCCTAGTCACACTTTGTCTAAAACTCCTACAAGAAGCCATATAGTCTTAGGTTTTTCATTTTCCTCTTCCAAGCTGCTGCCTTCACCAAATAGACCCCACAAGCCTCCGTTAATTACGGCCTCCCAAGCGGTATCCACCAATATATGTGATTGTCAAGGAAAAGTAAATAATTAGTAAGAAGTCTTTTCTTCTTTTAAAAATTAGCCTTCACTTTAACAATCTCTGTCCTGGATGGAAATGAAATAGCATAAATCCTTTCAGGAATCAGTTGTCACCTACACTACTCTCCATCAGCCCCCTAAAGCTAAGTGGCATAAAGAAGCATTTTTCTGACAGTCTCAGTTCCCCAAACACTAGTTATAAGGTCTTTCCTGGATGGTAAATTTATCTCTCTCTCTCTCTCTCTCTCTCACACACACACACACACACACACACACACACACACACACACACGGAAAAGGAAGAAGAGAAAGAAACATACCTGGTCCTTTTCTAAACAGGTTTGATAGGTTTGGTTCACTTGTAAGAGCAGAGTATTGATTTATAATCTTTTAAAGCATAAGTGGCAGCCAGAGCACTGGGTAAATAAAAACTTCAGAGAGTTTTAAACCCCTGCAACTTAACTCACTTCCCTTCCCCTCGGTTCAAGGGGACGGCACAGCAAACCCCACGGCAAATGAGATTATGCAACAGGTTTTTCCTCCCCACCTAGTCAACACAGGCTGGTTAGAGGTGTGCTTTCTCCAAACAGTCGGAGACACCCAGGACCGCACCGCGCCAAGGACCTTTGCAACTGACGTTGCCTAAGCTCCTTTTAGGATTTTGCAGTTTCCATTCATTTTCGGATCTGCTTGTATTTTCTCAGGTTCGCTGCCGGTATGCTTTAGGAAATACATCCAGCGTCTGAAAACTTGGGTTCTGCACACATATTTCCCCCGGTAGTGCCATAGCCCAGGAAACTCCACAGGATACACAGACCTTGCGTCGTCTCCCCGGGCTTTCTTATGCCTTACGTTTCACAGCTGGAGTAAAGAGAGTCCCTAGCGCGCCGGGCCCCTCTCCACCACGACCCGATCCCCTGGACGAAAGCTGAGGTTGGCGGGTCGAAACCCGAGTCGTGTGGGCAGCAGCAAGCGGCACCGTCGCCGCCCAGGTGGCCTCGCCGCTCACGCCAAAGGCGAACCGGGAATAATGGGAAAGTCAGGCCGGGCCCCCGCTTGGCAGGCGTGTTGTGTAACAGTCGCGCCTGCAAGTGAGCAGCCTCGCCGCGAGGGTGGCGCGTCCCGCGGCGGGGCCCGG